TTATCTTCCAAAACAACAATGGCGTGTCTGCAAGATATCACGGTCACTGAGATTGATCTGGAGCTGTTAGATATCGAAGAGGATCAGGTTCTGTTAATGGAGTTGGCAAAAAGACCGATTAACCTTTCATCGTAGTTGTCCATTGTAGTTTTTCCTTGTTTTTTTTTTAAATGTTGCGCACTGAATCGAGAAGGACGACCACACAGACAGCCGGAAAGGCAAACCAAGGACCAATCACAGCTGCTTTTTGTCTGCGCACTTCCGCTTGAGGTCTGCGCGGGTTTGTGACCATCCGACGCATAGTCAGAATCTTTTTGAGGTGTGCAACGGCGGTTGCAGAACCTCCGTGCTTTGGGGGCATGGTCACGCACAGAGACAGATTTGACGGTTGCAGAGTCTATGCATTAGAAGCATAAATTGGCCTTCTACCCCCCAAGTCCATCTGTCCGATGAATCCCTAACAGTCAGAGAACCCAGACTGAAAACATGAATATTGCTCCAACCCAACCCTGTCTTCCTCTTTTGCAAAAGATATTTAGACATATTTACAAAACATACTTCTTTACTTTTTATATTTGGTTATAACTGAGAGCACAATACTTGACTCAAATCTAAATGAGAGCTTGTGGTATGGCTTCAACAGATTGTTTTGCAATTGAAAACCCTAAAGTGGCTTAATCCATCCATCCATCCATCCATTATCTGACACACTTGTCCCGAGTGGGGTCGCAAGGGGTGCTGGTGCCTATCTCCAGCAGTCAATGGGCGACAGGCGGGGTACGCCCTGGACAGGTCACCAGTCCATTGCAGTTAATCCAAACTTTTTTTTTTCTAAAATGAATGCACAATCAGTCCTAAACACAAGCCCGTTTGCTTTAGATTGCTTTTCTGCTAAGTTATCAGTGCAAACATAATTCTGAAATGTCTTTGATGATCTGAAATCTGCAATAACTGGGGAAATCTGAAAAGGAGCAAACTCATCCAGCCACAGCAGCAGCCAGTAAAGGCCTGATCTTTAATTTAAAAATGATCTCGGGTTATTGAACAGCCCTGTGATCTTTCCGTCTTTTGATTGACAAGCAACAACATGAAAGTGCAGACCGTCAGCTGATGATAAAAAGGCAGAGGCAAACATAAATGTTGACACAGCTCTTTGTGGGTTTCTTCCCAGCTCAAAGGGCTTACCTTATTAACTTCAGAGAATCCCGTAGAGCAGGGGATGGAGAAGCAGGGTATGAATAATAACTTCGGATCTCAGCTGAAGTGATTTTACTTGGAGTGGTCAGCCTTTATTTTCTAAGTATTATTGTTGGAGGCCTGGGAATTCTGCTGAAGAAGATGGCTGATCCAGCACAAGCACAACTGAACATTTGAGCTTCACACATTGCTGTTTTAACCTTTAAGGCTCTTAGTTTCTGTTTAATAGAACTGCCCTCTTTTCAATCAAATTTACCCATAGTGGGTGCATTTATTAAACTCAAATGCACAGTGGATAGACAGCATTTCAATTCTACTACATCTGATTTAAATCCACAAAAAGGAAATTATAGAAGATTCAACAAACTCAAAATTGAGGCGAAGCCCTTTATCCGGTAACCATCATGCTGTTTTCCCCATTCTGGATTTCTAAGAAATCATTACCATAATTCTCTATAATAGAAAATTAAATCAAGGAGCCATATAATCTCATGTGAGCCAGATGTGATTTGAGGGATCCTCGCTGAATCTCTAGCTGATGTGTTTGAGGTGTTCTCAGCTCCTGTTAAAGCTGTTGCTGACTTACAGCTGGTCTGGATTATACTCCTCCATATCTGCCCCATACCTCGTACGTGTTTTTTAAATTCTGACCTGAGAGAGGCTGCTGAGTGTTTAATTCATCAACTCTGTCAGATGCTTGCATCACCTGTCAGATGGCGGTGCTGTTTTTCAATCACACCGCCTACGTCTCTAAGTCTGGGCTCCATGACATCAGTAGCAGCATTGTTTTATGATCCCCTAGGGGTGCAAGAAAGGTCATTTCCTCATCCTGTATTAACACACTGCCTTTCATCAAAGACACCCGTCTTTTGATGGGAAACAAAAAAGGAGAGAGGACAAGGACGGCTTAGGTAAACGAGGGTAAGAAGCTCCAGTTCCAAGGAAATTCGATGCAGGATGCTCCGCATGTGCACGCTTAAAGCCGGGAGAGAGGGGGGCTGGCGTTGAGGTGGGGGCAAAGATGGGAAGGGAGTGAGGGGTGGTCGCATTTTGGGCAAGATTTTTTTCTTTTTGCCAAGAGAACTGACCATGGTTTCCTGGAACAATGCAGCTGATGAGAGTCTCTCCAAAGAAAATAAGGCTCTGACATCATGGGTTCTTAAAGCACACAGCTGAGCCAACACTCTCCTACTATAATCAAGTCTCAGTGAATTTCCACTGTCGGCTAAAACCGAGAAAGAGGGAGAATCTCCAAATCCCAAAGCTTAGCTGCATTTTTTTTTTCAAACACACTTTAATCTAGCTGCTAATGTACTGGTAGCACTTGCTGGACGTCTTTCCTCTGCTTCACATCTGGACGATAAAATGCAACACAGGGCTGCTTAAAAGTTGGTCACAATCAATGCATTACTTTCATGGCATCTGGGCAGGAGAATTTGCTAGGATTCTTTGGGATTAGAGTAATAAGATGCTGATCTGACAAAAGCAAAAGTAAAATCTCAGCAGAGTTAAAAGAAATGAATGGTAGAAGACAGATGAGGCTTTATAAGGTGCCTTTTTTCTCTCCCTTTGAAACAACCCGAATAAGTAGTAAAATTGGTGAGTGTAGTAAAACAGACCACAAGTTCATTCAAAAGACAATTGTGTGCTTAAGATGAGGAGTTGAAGAGTGTGGGGAGATTGTGTTTCAGAGTTCAGTCCAAAGTACATGTCCTTAGATGCACTGGATCTCAGAGTGCACAGATCAATGAGAGAGGAAAGTGGTTTTTCCAGTCCTGGTATCTGAGGTTACTCAAGTATTCTCGTTTCACGATGCAACACTAAATAAGAGCATATAAAGGAATAAACTAATCTTTAAGTATTAGTTTACTGTAAATGTTCAGCCTTAATATTTCCTGCTGCACACAATCTCGCATGCCTGTTGGGAACTGGATCGTTAGGGTGAGATAATTGATTCTGTATCTGTCTGAAAGAAGGATGTAATAACATCCAGGATGGCCTCCATGACCCAGAGCTGGCTGAGCTCCCTCCTCTGCTCCATGTTTTGATCTCTGCCGCCTGCTGGGCGACTGCCAGAGAGCCAATTTATCAAGGTCTTATCCCTGCTCCATATATGCATCCGTTTGGAAAGTGCTGACCGGGAGTGAGCTGGAGCTCGGCCCTGTCACTGCGAGCATCCTCCAAGGAGCTGAACATGCAGCTCTTGCCTTAAGGAGAACCACACCCCGCTCTGTTTTCCTTGGCGGACCCCTCTGCCTCTGAGGAAGTATCACGTTGTCTTTTGCTACGACTGGCGCGGTCAGCTTCAGAGTGCACACAGCTTGACTTTTGGCTTTATCTACAGCCAAAATATCTTAAAGGATTTAAGAAGGACAAACACCAACTATGTAATTATCTGCCGTTCATGCGTCTGAGTCAACAGGGTTCCTCATGAAATCTGTGAAGTTATGCAAGAGAGAGAATAATGTCTTCACAGCGTTGTGTTTCCACCAGCAGTCTGTGGCCGTAAAGTACCTGGCATAAGCGTTTGCACCCCTTCAATTTCTCTGAATTTTGTCATTTTGAAACTATAAAATGAAATTAAAAGTAGTGAATGACCAACTCAGAGTGACGTTTAAGCTAAATTAAGAACAACTTAGAACCTATTTACAAATACAAGTCTGAACTGGGCATCATGCGTTGGTGTTCAGACCCTTTGCTCTGATACCCCTAAATAAAAGTAATTGCAAGCTCTTGTTTGGGTTTATTGCCATTATTAATCCAGTACAACTTGCCTTAGTGATTGAACATGGTTGGCTTGTTTGACTGCTGAGGTTGCGAGCAGGTATCTTGAGGCCAGGTGTGCTGATGCCCAGGCGGATGCAGAGGCAAAAACTCGGGCCTTGGAGGAGTTTGGAGAAGCCATGGAGGAAGACTGGCTTCAAAATGAATGCGGCAAGTTTAACGGTGTTGAAAGAACAGTGCGTTCACACTGGAAACACTATGTCTCTCGGCTGGCCCGGGAGCGACTCGGGCTTCCCCGAGCAGAGCTGGAGGAGTTGTTTGTGGAGAGGGAGACCTGGGAGTCTCTACTGAGAATGCTGCCCCATGTCTTGGTCCCAGATGGAGCCGGAGACGACGATTACGAACTTGCCTTAGTTTATATATTCTTCATATATTCTGTTCTATTTCTTTATGTGTGCTGCATGTGAAAAAGTAAATATCTCGTACGTGTAAAATAGTACTCGGCAGTAAAGCCTTTTATTGATTGGGTCATTCCGAGTTAGTGACGCGTCCACTCCACATATCGGATCTGGGAAGACTGGCAGGATAGAAGCGGTAATGGCGGCATAGTATTATTGTAATGCTTTTTTTTTTTTGGCAGAAATCTGTTTGATTGGAAGGAGGAAGGGGATTCTAAAAGAAACTTGTTGAAAATCAAAGTAGATATAAGAATAAAGTTGACGTCACCCTTTTACCAGGATTAGGCATGCAGGCAGATCAAAGCTTCTGGGTTAGAATGGCCCAGTTAAAATCCAGACCTGATTTCCATTCACACCTTAGGCAAGAATTAAAATTTAGCGTCTACAATTGCTTGCTATTCGACATTACTGGGGCTGTATTGTTTTGCATTCAAAGGGCTAAACGTTCAATCTCTAATAAACATGAAGATTTTCTTTTCAACAATATGTGCTGCTATGCTGATATCAAATAAGATCACCAAAAAACTCCTGCAGGTTGTGGTTGTAATTAAGGGCTATTAATGATATAGTGCGGCATATAGTGTGTGGATGATGAATAAAAGTAGTCTCCAGACATTTCTGTGATGTTGACAAGTGGTTTATTCAGCAGGAATGGTGAACAGTTTGTCAGTATTTTCTTTCCTTACAGAAGGCAATCAAGCACCATAAATAACAGGGCTGTAATCAAACAGGTTCTTGGACAGTGAGCTTCAGGAAAATACATCTAACACTTCAGGGAGTCATGAATGTTTGCATACTTCCTCCCACGCTTGAGTCTTTTCTGATTATTTCACACCACTGACAGCTTGACATGTTTGAGTGATTCATAAAAGCTGATGATTTGAAGTCGTTTCTGTGGTTTGCTCCTTAAAATATGCCGTATACACCAAGGATTTCTGTCTTTCTACAACACAAGCCATAATTCAGACACCTAAACGTTGTGTTAAACTGTATTGTAGTGGAGACACAATGGAATCATGCTATATTTATATTTTAATGGGCTACAATGGATCTAAAAAGTCTTTGGTATGCACTGTATACCTAAACTTCTAGTAGGAACATATTTTCTTCAACTAGTTTTTACTTCAGCTTAATTATCAGGGCAAAAATATGTATAAAAAAAACACTAAAAACCATTGCAAAAAATTCATTACTTCATCTTATTTTTTAAGTTAAAGAGCAAGGCCTATTCCATCAACGGGATGCATGCAAATGTTGTAGAAATGTGGCTTTAGAGTGTAATCCTGCTCCTGAACTTCAAAAATGAAGTCAGATTTTTCTCAATATATATTTTTAAAAAATTTCTTTAGAAGTGGGACCATGCAACTTTTTAAAATTAAAAAAATGTGTGATTGATTTATGTAAAAACTCAGAGGGTGCAATTAAAGAAAAACATTTAAATTTTATTGTAGTACCGCCAAAGTCTTAACATTTGTTTCCTAGAAGTTGAAAAACTCGCCTTAAAAAATAAAATCCAAGATGGCCACCTATCACATATCACTTTTGCTGCACAACTGCAGTACTTATACTCTTCTGAATTATGTTTAGTTAAATATGCATTGTCTATTATACAGTATCCATTACCAAAAATGTTGCCAAAGGGTTTGAACATATAAAATATGGTATAATACACAGTTTTCAGCTTTTTAGCTACTGGCTAATAGTTACAACAATCACCTGATTCTAGTTTTACCATCAGTTGGAAAATTGAAACGTGCCTTTTTATTCACAGATACATTTTGACATTAAAAGCATATAAAATTAGTAATTTCCCACTACGTATAGTAGTGTATAGTAATATTTTCGGACCTTACATAAACTAATTTCCAATCTTAAATATGATCATGGAAAATATAAAAAGAAAAGAATGCCTTTCATGAAATGGAAGACATTTGAAAGGGCAATGATTATAACTAATTTACTTTCTGTCACCAGTAGGAGATGTTAAGCAAAAGTTGCATAATCCCACTTTGATTTCCCTCATATTTGACACTTTGGCTTCCAGGGAGGCATTTGCAGGCAACACGCACTCTGGACAGACAAAAGCACACCACGACTTTTAACAATCTTGACACAATTAGAAGAATCACAGTTTACAGTATTTCTATCAAGACATTTGGCATAAGGGATTTATATTGAGAAAATAATTTAAGAATAGTAGAAAAAATAGCATTATGCCTTCCTGGGGTCACAACATTGTATACTCATTCTCTTTTTTTTTATTATCCATGCATTCACAGAGTTCACACGGAAACATTTAGTTGCTTTCACTTAAGAATCTGCTTACAAATAAAATCACCATCAACATGGTGGCCACAAGGCTGTGCAAAAGGGAAGACCTCCAATGTAAGCCCTGCCATCCATCTGTCTTTTCCATCTCTTTGCAAGTAAACTATAAAATAGCACCATTATACAGTGGATAGGATTTTTTAATACAGTTTTGTTATATGAAACCATCATGTACAATGAGTGATAGTAATGCATAGATTAACATAATGGGAGTACAGTTTGATTATACACAGAGAGAGGAAGCAGAGCCAGATATGAGACATGTTTGGGGCAAAATCAGGGAGGCTCAAACGAAAAATCAGTGTCCAGTCCATTCATGCAAGGACTTCTCAGAAATTGCTTGTTTGTGAAATTTGTGAATGTTATCATGACCCTTAGTTATATTTGATGATTTTATTTTCATATATTTGCCATCGCTACTGCATGTTTAAATGTGGGTCTGCATTTGCCAATCAGACGTTTGCTGGTAATATTTACCAGTTTATTCTGCCTGACTTTAAGGTGGACTTTGTAACGGATGTTGTGTTGTTTGGTTGTACTCTTGTCACTGCGTCAAAATAAAGAATCAAACCCAAAACTAGAATTCATTGAATAATAAGAGTTCAGGTAATGATAATCGACTGAACAAACGTTTCTGTGCCTGAAATGAATCAATATCTCCACAAAAAATGTCAACATTTTGTTATGTAAGAAAAAAAATATCTCTGCAGTTATTCTAATAGGAATTTAAGTAATAAAAAATAACACATAACAGCTCAAAATTGAGAAGTGGGTAAAAAAAAAAATATTTTAAAATTATGGTTTGTTTGAGTGATCAGTCCCTTCTGGCCTGATTCCTCTAAATAAAATGTTCCCACAAATACTGACCAGAATGGAAATGCTCCAGGAGGAGCTGCAGAGATTCACAGCTAAACCACACATATTTCCCTTTTAGTTTATTTTTTAAATGTATGATGAACATCATTGAAAGAACCCCTCCAAAAGTTTTGTTTATGTTTGTCAGAAGCCAAACAAGAAATTAAGCAAACAGGTTGAGGACGATGAAATGATAAGAGACTGAATTTGAACTTTTTTGCTCGACGTGGAAGAAAAATGCTCCCCATTTCTTGAATACACCATCTCCACTGGGATACATGGTGGTAGAAGCCTCATACTGTTGGGATGCTTTTGTTTTATAGGGTCAGGGAACCAGGAACAAGAATATAGCTAAATGCAAAGCAAAGAATAAAGCTGGAGCTAGTTTGAAATGGTTGGATCAACTAGAAGGGCTTTATCACAGACCCAAGGTATTAAAAAGGAGAAAATCCACAAGGATTTTCCATCCAATTTTGGATAAACCTGTTTTGCAACAAAAAATGAAGGATGGTTTTATCCTGTAGACATGCAAACCTGTTGGAGACATAAACCTAAAGATTTTTTTAAGTACTGAAGGACTGATCACAATGCACACTAAAACTTTTTATGTAAAAATGTTAAACAGGAATCTTCTTCTAATGCACAATCATGAGCTATTTGGTGCCGATCTATAACAAACTCCTTATAATTTAGAAAATTCTATTTTTAACTTCACTTTTTTGTTTTAGTCTTTGCTCATTTAAAAACAATTCCTTAAATAACCCTTTAGAAAATCATGTTAAAAAAAACTGACTTAAAATTCCTGATTAATAAGAAGTAAATGTTTTGCAATCTCTCAAAGGTTGTGACCAGCGAAAAGCACACAGACGACAAACATATTGTCTGGTGGTCACTGTTTGATTAATCTGCTCATTTATGCCAGATGAACTTTGAATCCACTGACCTATTTCTTAAAATAAACCAAACGAGGGAGCTGACAAGTGAAAACAAATCTCTGTGCTTTAGAAAACAGAAAAAAACTAAAGCTCTTTATTTTATTTTTAAAAAATGAAACCTACAAATTACCTAAAGCGTGCGTATTATGGATCCAGTTCTGAACACTTAGTGGGGCTTAGAAAGGAAATGGATTGCTCTCAAACCCCCTAGCCACTCCACATAACAGGGATTTAAGTCCGCCTCAGGGTGAAATTACCAACAGCATTGTTTAAATGTATAACAATAAACCACATGGTCCTGGTCTTTAAGATGACCAACATATCCCCAGTAAATTTATAGTGCATAAAAACAAACTCTGAATTTCAACAGGGATATTAAACTGTTATGTGACTGTGAAGAGTGAAATGGATGTGACCACTCATTCCTGTCTGGGTGATGTTCCCACCCTTTCTGGAGCCAAAGGAAAGAGGGCTATTGCAGCTTAAATATGAAGGGAATTGCAAGCTCGTACTGTGTCTTAGCAGCTAAACTAGTCTTTTACAATGAGTTAAAGAATTCCTCCTCATAAGGAATGAGGTGATCACAAGTACCCTCATCCAGCCTTTAAACACAACTTCTTTTTTTTTTTTAAGCTTTTCTGCCATTTTTCGCATCCTTTCGTTTTGTTTTACAGTGAACCAGTGAACCGTTCCACAGGGGTACCAGGTAAGGCCACTCCCTTCTCTCTTTCGCTTCCTGCTTCCCTACATTCGGTAAGTTTTGCCCCCGGAGCTGCCTTGACTTGAGTTTTTTGGATGGACCTCCTGCAAGATGAAAAGAAACATCGTAGACGTCACTGCAAAGGACAGCTGTCTCCATGGTTACAACAATTTAAGACTTAGGAAGCTATTAAGATGGCGACTTAGTTAGTTAACAAGTTAAATGTTATCAGTCAGGACAGAGTAATAAAAAAAAAAACACTTAAATATGTTTGTTTGAAAGATGAATTCAATCAGGAAGTCGTTAATAAACCAAAGTATAGAAGTGTTTGTGTGGATCTCTGTCCAATGGATAAAAGTTGGCCTACAGTGAATGAGGTCATTAACAAAACGAGGATTCTAGTGGCAGCAGTTAATTTAAAACCACAATAAAAGATACAAGGATCAAAGGGAAGCGATCCCGCTATGACAAAACCAAAAAAACAAATAACAGAAACAGAGCAATCTGTGTAAATCCATGTATGGTTTGTTCTTTGGTTTTTTTTCGTTTCAAAACAAAAACGAAAAAACAAAACAAGCGTGTGCTTTTTCTGTTTTTCCGTTTTTAAAACCTAAATCGAAAAAATGAAAAATCGAATTAATAGAAAATCAACAGCGTTTGAGTTTTGTCTCGCCATCTAAATGCAAATAAAATACGGTTGTCGTTTTAATATGTAGCGGTACCGGAAATGAAGTAAGTCGCCAAAGAAAAATCATTTACAGTGGATGAAGACGGCATCAAAACAAACCATTTCTAAACAAAAGGCAATGGCTGCACTTGAACTGTTTTCTGCTTTGATTATCGAACTTTTTGAGAGCGAAAAAACACACTCTGAAATCAGTGATGCTTTGAGCCGCCATGGAGCTCCACATTACTCGGTAATGAGTATCAGAAGGTTTTGTATGGAGCACAACTTGCGAAGACAGAACAATGTGTCGGACGCCGATTTGGAACGTGCAATCATTAGCGCTCAATGAAATGCGCCGATTCCCTCTAAATAACACAAACGTTTCCATTTTGGTAGTGCCAACTAAAAAAGTTCTTCTTCTTGTGGATTGTAATGGCGGTTGGCAAGAAATTGAAGGCGTACATCACTGCCACCTACTGGTAACTAAAAAGTTATCTGTTTGGAGTTCAGGTCTTCATTTCCGGTTCTGCCATAAGGTCTGTTGAATTAACAACAAAATAATTTTGTCTTTGGTTTAATCATTGCAGTAAAAAAAAAAATCCCAAAACGTACCCTTTTTTTCATTTTTGCAAATGCCGTATCTCTAATTTAGTTTTAAAAACGGAAAAATTAAAAAACCCATTTTTGTTTTGTTTTTTCGTTTTTGTTTTGAAACAAAAAAACCAAAGAACGAACCATACAAGGATTCAGCACCCATTTCCTTTTTTATTTTAAGCCAAGCTTTGTTTTTTGTTGGAAAAACAGATTATACGTTGATTTTTCCATTTTCTTGTTGTTACTAAAAGCCAAAAACATTTTTGGTTTTAAACAAAAAAAGAAAAGATGGTGCTTTTTCCGTTTTTTTTTTCTTTTTTTTTTTCCATTTTTGGTTTTGTCAGAAAAACAGATTGTACTTTCATACCCAGACCAGAGGCTACTTCATAGTCAAATTCCAGATCTTATATGAAATAATGTGTTTTTACTTTGGAAAAATGATGTTCTAATACATATCCAACAGTATAAAGAAAATATAATTTTACTAATATTTACATATGGATATTTCATGGTCAAATGATGCTAATGTTCACCTGGGTTATTAACTCAAGTTATATCTATGAGTTTCATATTACACCTAATTGGTTTAATTGATTTATTGGAGAGGTATACATGTGAGGGGATGCATCCATACCTTAAAGGATGAGTGACTATGTCCAGATGAAGGTCTCTATGAGGGAAAAAAAAAAAAAGACATTTTAGTTGGATGTACTTGAAAGAGACCTCAAAGTAGCAAACAATGTTCATAATTATCACGTACATTCATTGATCTGAACCATGGCTTTAGTGTATAAGTGGATGCGGCACAAACCTTCTTGTTTTTTGTCTTGTCTGGCTGCGGTGCCGTCCTGCGCTCTGTGCCCTTGTCCACTTTATGTCCCGGGTTACTGACCTTGACAGTTCTCGGCACATCTATGTGGCGCTGTGCACGTACAGAACGAGACTGCTTGCTGGTTTTTGCAGGTGCGCAGTACATCTCCAGGCGCCGCAGCTCACAGCTCTGGAAGCAGCACTCATCCACGATGCCGTGCGACCGCCTTGCACTGGGACCATAGCCTGTTGGCTTATCTGTATAGCGGACAGAAGGATGTAGTCACATATAGAGAAAACTTTAAACCACTGCTGCTTTACAAAGTAACCACACCATCAACAAAGAATGTTTTCAGTGTTCAACAATAGACATCGCTTCAACTGCAGTTTGAGGGAATGAGGCTTAAAAAGTGACATTAAAGGATGATCTTTTATTTCCGAGTGGATCATCTAAATAAGTGGCCCTCCTAATTGTCAATCATTCTGGTGATATGTTTACATAAAGCCTGTTCCCAGTTAGCCATGTTTTTCTGCGCATATGCACTTTCAGCAGCATATGTGTGGTGAGCTATGGTTTATTACAGTCATTGAAGCTCTCCTTTCTCACCGTAGTTCTTGGAAAATGGCAGAGGGTCAAAAAAAATTGGCGCAGGCACCGCGCAGTGGAGGAGGAGTTACGTGACTAACGGAGGAAAAAACAGTGATCATGTGTCCGAACTGTCAGTTAACTGAGTTCACTATAAAATCCACTATATAATCCTATATAGTGATTGGGGGATTTAACGGTTAGGGCGGACATTTGGACACAGTAAGCTTGTATAAGAACAGCAACTTTTAAACAGAGCGTGCACGAGGAGAAATGGGCTCGTGCACACTCTCGCATACGGTTAATAGGCGTTCCCTATCAGGAGCAGGTACAGGGTAGTGCATGTGCATTTTTTATTTTAAGTGGAGAGGGTGGGTCTTTTAAAAAAATTGCAAAAATCCTCCACAAGACCTTTAAGTGGATTCATTTCAAATACGTGTGCAAAACTAGTAAAATTATTTTTATCTAATGGTATAGCTAGAGAGCTAAAAAAAAGTTTGTCAAGATGGCTTTCAATGGAAATAAAAAACAATGATTGCAAAATTTACTTTCAAGGTAAAAATTAAAGAGCTAAGAATTGTGTATATTTGATAGATTGATAGATAAACTGAAATTATCTAAGATGTTGGTTAGAGCTTTTTGAAGCTTTTTGGATATCATTTAAAGTAATCCACACTAGCAGTTTGCAATCTGAGGGTGTTTTTATGATATTATTGTCGTAAAGAAACATGTTGCTGTTATGTTTTCGTTAAAACAGCTAGAAAGTTCAAGCTCCATTTCCAAATTTTTCCAAAAATGCTTGTGACAACATTTTATGTTAAATGTTTACCTAAATTTGTTCTTGATTCAAAAGTTACCCAATTTGATTTATTCTAATATAAAAACATCTTTATATAAATCTATTTACACACAAAAAAAAGAACATAGCCAGTTTGGATGGACGTATTAACAAAATGCAATAGCTGTGCAGAATTTGCAAAGATTCAGTCCAGCTCGTATAAATCAGATTCTGCTTTTTCTCCTTCATTGCTCTGGCAGGTTTCCAAACTCTATGTTTTTAGTAAAGCAGCGATAATAGCCAGGTCACAAGTTTAATATTCCTGATATATGAACCAACCTAATGACGTTCAATTTCTGCAAGTGAAATTTACAGCGCTGAACACTACACACTGTGGACCAAATTTGGCCGCAACATGTTGGAGAATGTCGTATTCAGCCATTTTTGGCTCTGTTAAATTTTTTTCTCTTTAGCCCCCAGAGGCTGATCCACCTGCAGAAACATCGAGGACTTTCTGTTCATTCATATATTCATTTGGAAAAAGTGCCCTTCAGAGTCATTCACATGCATAACTAAGAGAAAAGGGCTATGCAAACGTTTTTAGCTCAAATTTATACGTTTTTTTTTGTATAACTATATGAGCCTTGCAGGGACACCAAAGCTTGTTCCCTCTTCTTACTCTAAGATAATGCTCTTCATTGGAAAAACTCAGGATCCATTTAGAATTCCCAGCTCCTTTGGTAAGAAGGAAAAGTCTGAGAGGAGATGGGCTTTTCCCTGTGACCAAATGAAATAATAATAATTTAATATGGCATTTACAAGGAGGAAATGCCTCTCTCTCTCAGAGTTAATAGCTCTTGGCTCTGAAGCCTGCCAGTGCTGACAAAGTGCATTAACTCCTGCTCTGTGTTCGCCTTGTTCTGACAATGTTGCTTGGACAGAGGGCAGCTTTCATTCAGAAACAGAAGCATCTTTCTCTTCTGAACTGAGAAGATAATGGAGGCATGAATGAGATGAAGAAGAAAAGTTTTTATGGATGAATTATGACAACATGTACTCAGTGCAGCTGAATTATTAATGAAGCAAGAAATCCAAGATATCTGGAAACATAAAATGTGAAAAGAAACACCTCATTTGATTGACGGTATCCTTATCCTTTCATTATTCAATGCTTCTCTAAGAATATTTTCCAGTTATTGGAGCAAACACATGTTATGTATTGGAAGCAACTTTTGCAGGTAACGACTGATGTCACTGCATTAAGATGGAGAAAAAAACTCCAGTCCACACTGTTGGTTACATAAAGACTGACTATTTTGAGCCAAAAGCAGGAATCTGTTCATTTGTCTGGCCTGATTTTCAACCCTCCTCCTAAAAACAGGAAAATAGTTTTTGAAAATTAACACCTTTTGTTATTCCAAGAATAGTTTGCCACCCTGCTGCAGAAAAGCAGCTGGAAGGGAAAGAGGAATCAACAAGTTCTAATTTAAGGTAGCGGGAAAAAATGCATGAAGCATTAATTTCTACAAGGTTTTAACATGATCGATGATTATATTAGTCCCTCATAAACACTGACACACTTTTATGACTGTTTTCAAACACACAGAAGTTTTTTGCATTGTTTTTATGTCTCCCTGAGCCAGGTCTAAGCTTGGTTTATCCTCTGCTGATGTTCCAGAACTCCAGTATTTTTACTGAGTCAGTTTGTGTTTTGGTATTTGACAGGGTCAGCATGCATGGTTCAATGACTGCACAGAAAGTTAATTTTTACAGCCTTTATGCTTAATAAAAATTGAATCTTTGAGCTAATGCCCGGCTTTAAACACAAGGTGGCCAAATGATGAAAGCTGCTCAAACTGAGTCAAATGCTACAGATATGGGTGAATATAATACTTTGTAAATGCATCTTAAATGTGGGCATTGCATAAATGTTATGAAACATTAAAGTAATGAGAGCCTTAGGGTTATCACTTAACCTTGCATAGCAAGCTGGATTTCGGCGAGATCTGAGTTTTTAGTCTCACAACAAATCATTGTTGAAAGACTCCCTCCAATACGTCCGTCTCGTAACAACCAGTGAGTCGGACCAATGAGATGAAAGCAGTGTTTTTTGGGGCTGGACATGTAGGAATGGCGGCAGTCAGAAGGGCCTTGCCGGGCCATTACAAACATGGCTACGCTGGAGGACTCACCTGTCAATTCCACCATTGACAAAATATTACAAAATTTGGAAACCCATTTTAGAACAACTGAAGCCATAAAAAACCCCTATTTCACCCTCTTTTTTTTGTTCTTCTTTACCCCAGTTGTTATGAATAAAGGTGTGGACACTTCTAATTGACTGGTTGAAACTCCATAAAGTGTGTTTTTTTTTTTTTTTACTTTCAGTATGTCCAAAGTGTAAATGAACAAATTATTTTTATATAATATTATTTATTGTTTGTCTAATGCTTTTTTTTCTTTTTTTTTTTTTCTTTTTTTGTGGCAAATGCTAAAGGACTCACTAAAGGACATTAATCATTGTCATGTTCTTGTTGTATACCCATAAAAAATCTATAAAAATAAAGTGGAAAAAAAAAATTCCACCATTGACTTGGTTTTAGCTAAAATAGCAACAATTTCTAGTTTAAAAAAGGAGCAAAGATAACCACTTTTTGGATGTGAAAGATATCTGCGCTTTTCTTCCAACAGGACTTGGAAGAAGTTTGATTATCAGCTTACTCCACTAGTTGTAAAAATCGTCAAGACGAATCCTATTGTGATCATCGTGAAACATCACGATTCACTGCTACGATTGGCGTATGATGGAAGGCAGGTACTAGCGGGCACGTCACCCAATCAGCTCGAAGTATTGTGCTAAATGTCGCTCCTTTTCACAGACAGACTGAACAGCAGTCATCCCTGACTGATAACATAAAACTCAACTCAGGTCTACATATATCAATCTGGGTCCTACCAGATTAGTAATCACTGGATCTTGTACAATAAATAAGAAAAACCGAGTGTTTTTAACTTAAAAAGGCATCAGTATATCTGCAGACAGATGTGCATTTTAGGTAATTAGAACATTATTCTTCCTTTAAGCTTATTAGAAACAGCCACATTTAAGTTATAAATATAATACTTCATTTTAAAATACAAAAATGTTATCCTGTGATCCAGACAGGGAGCAGGCAATTATTGGTACCTCAACAACGATGTAGAGCCGCAGAAGGTGCTGTATTAGCAGAATCATAGAAAGTTAGGTGGAAGGACAAAGCATGGCTGAAAAAGATCGCACAATAGATCGGCCAATGTCGGTATCGGCCAATCATGGGCGCTTTTAAGCATATTGATATCGGTCCATTTAACTTGGCCAATACAAAAAATTACAAGAAATGTATTGCCAAGTTTTTGCAGGTTTTGTTTTAAGGAGGGAAAAAATATGAGTTGGTATTCTTTGATGATGTCCAAAGGGTAGGTAAATGTACAATAGGACTACATAGTGTATTTCGGCCATAGGCTTGAGAAGGTTGTGAACCAAAGTATTAAATAGTCTTCATATGTGGAGCAAACAGGCCTGAATTGAACCTCACAGTAAATCATAGGAGAAAATTGAACACAGAGCTAATAATGCAGTCGTGTTGAGGGGCGCTATTGAAGCAACCTAGGCTAACTAAACACCTCAGCTGATCTAGAGGCTGTTCTCCTGCAATAAATGAACTAGTTCAACCAAAGGGAGCTTAAACTAAGTATTAAGGGATATCCAGCAGTCTATATGCACACTTTCCAGTAGGCTGACATTTTTTTTCTATTGGTCTTATGCAATATTCTAACTTTCATAGTAAAAGTTTGTTTTTTTATCTGCAAGTCATTGTCATGCTGAAGGTAGATACCTTTGTGTAAAATGATTTG